ATCATAATTGTTCCGAAATGGGACAATTCCAACAAATCAAATTAATCGTAGATGGCAGTAGACAATACTGCTGTATAGTACACTACTCCTGTTTAGGACATATGCCATGGAATCTGCTGTAATAAAAAAAAAATGATACGAGTAAGTTACTTTTCTTACAGTTTTGTTAAGAATATCATGAGCTGCACTCCCAGACCTAGAGGTTATCTTATTCTGCATTTGAATTGGATGGAAAAGGAAGCAGGATTCATATTTACAAGCATGAGTCAAATCACCAGGACTTTAGCCTGTCAGATTTTATTTTATTTCCAAGCGCAATAAAACCAAACCCGACCTATCATGTTCTCTGTCATTATAGGCCTCATACCATGTAAGACAATATTTCACACTGTGAGGAATGTATGGTATGCATTTAGTGTTACTATTTGTAAAGTTATTTATTAATCTCTAAATTATGACAAGGATTATAGCCAAAATTCCCTTTAGAAAAAGAAGATACTTTAAGCAAGCAGCTGGAAAATCTTGATTTTCAGATGCTTGCGTAAAGTATTCTCCTCGCTTTATTTCACTGCGGTTATCCTCCCGTCTCTGTTTTTATCTCTGTACCTCTCTTTTAAATCAACTATATCTTTCTCTGTATCTTTTCTTCATCTCTCACTTAGTTCTAAACCCATCTCATTATTAGTTCTCCCTCCCCATCTCTGAGGTAGATCATCATCCTCCTCCTTACACCACTCCCTTCTCTGTACGACTCTCAAACGTTTTAACCTCCCACCCCTCCCCCACTCTCTCACTCACTTAGATCTTCCAATATCTTTGTTTAATTTCTGGCTACCGATATAATACAACTTTTATTTTCCTTCATATTCTTTTTTTTCTCTCCCTTACATTCATTCATCCATCCATCTATTCACCCTTTCTTTTTCTTTCTTTCTCAAAGTTGTAACCCCCCCCCCCCCCTCTCTCTCTCTTAGATCTTCTCTACTCTTTCTTTGGCTACCCATATGATCCACTTTGTCTTTTTTATTCATTATTTCTGTCTTTCCATTCTTGTTAACTGCCTCTTTATCTTCCTATCTCTTTCTCTATAAGTTACTCTCACACCACCCCATTTCCTTTTTATGAATTTTAACTTTCCACTCTGGTGTAAATTTTAAGGTTTAATCCTGATAAAACAAATTAATAAGGTTTTAATCTCTCTCTCACTTAGATCTTCCCTACTCTTTTTGTCAACACGATCTACTTTGTCCTACTTTGTCTTTTTCTTCATTTTGTTCATTCATTCTTCCCTTCTGTCTTACTGTCTCTCATTGCAATCAACCCCTTCTCCAAAAGCTGGCAACTGCCTCTATAACTTCCTCTCTCTTTGAGTTACTCTCACACCACCTCCTTTCCTTTTTATAAGGTTTAACCTCAATCAAACAAAGTAATCAGTCAAAATCTTTTGAGCACAATACCTGGAAAATTTTATTCATACAAAATATAATGAAGAGTAAACAAACACAATAGCAAAGACGCTCAAGAAACCAACATAAGAGCAATTTTAAAGGGGAGGTCCACCGTGATATTAAGATGGCTTTAATAGAAGCAGAAAATGTGTGGAACAGGTCAGTGAAATTTTGAACAAAGACGGATAAGAAAGTTATGAATTTTTCAAGTTGCGATCAATCAAACACAAATTGGCAGCTCTGTGATGTATCTTGTGAGCTTCCCTCATAATAGGTAATCTAATACACTTTTAAAATCGCCCTCTAGTTGGTATTTTGATAGTCTTTGCAATATTCAGCCTTTTCACACACGGGGAAAATTCTTTAAAGCTGATTAGTTTAAAGAGCTTTAAACTAATCAGCTTTAGATACAACATCATTCACACACAGAAAATTTGGTGCAGTCATTCGAGATTCACTGCTCTGTCACTGCTTGTAAATGCGCAATGGCCCTACTGAGCGTTTAAACACGTATATCTGTTCACACACAAAATGTGAAGCTCTCTAGATACGCATTTCTTATCTGCAGCCTGCTTTGAAGGGCGTATGAATCGCGACTTCGTATCTGTCCGAACATCGTATAAATGACGTTCACACAGGGAAAATTTTCTTTAAAGCTGTTTAAAGCTGTTGAGTTAAACAGCTTTAAACTAATCAGCTCTAGAAACAATTAATTTTAGCTGTGAGTGAAAAGGCTGTATGTAATAAATATCTGGCAAGGAAGGTGCTTCTTGAATTGCACAACTGAGTTGATGAAAGTATAAAACACAAATATCAAAACATACCAAATAAACCCATCACTGCATTCTAAATCATATTTGTATGATATTATCTGTTTGGAGCCAGAAGGGTGTTAACTCTGTATATGAATTAAAGCCTTTCAGGTTCCAAACAGACATCACAATATTACCATATATACACTCATAGATTTATTTTATACTGCTTAATTTTTCTTGACAACGAAAGGACAAAATTCTCCTGTTGCCATATTTCACACCAATACTAGCCCTCTTAGTCATAAATATAGAAGAAAAGAAATATTGCATATTGATGTACATTATAATATCTTTCTGAATTTGTAAAGTTCAATACACCACATTTAGAGTGATAGACATATCTTTAATACAGTCAAACCTGCTTTAGTGACCACCTCTCTACAAAGACCACCTGTCTACAAAGGCCACATTTGTTGTTTCCCTTGAAAATGGTTTCTCATTGAATCATGTACTAAAGGAACCTGTCTACAAAGACCACCTGTCCACAAAGGCCACTCTTTGTGTTTCCCTTGGGTGGTCGCTATAGACAGGTTTGACTGTATCTCATTTATGCTTGTTTATTTCAACCTCTTTTTAATCTACTAAGTACATCACACTAACACACAAGAGCAAAGACATTTGAAGTAACACATGCAACATTATTCCTCTGAAAATCCTGAAGTTAATACTTTTCGAATCAAATATCAAAAAACTAGTAGACTATTTCAATGGTATTTTCATTTGAAGAAAACAATGTATATACCCCTGTATTATCTCCAGTTATCTCACATTGGAAGAATAACACTCCAGTAAGTACTTCAATAAAAGTTCATTGACCCTTGTGGTAATGCTAAGTGGTAACAGGTTGTATTATTGGACCTGTAGCCAACTCTTTACTCTACTTGTACTTGTACAGGTTTTCTAAGATTTTCTGTATATGCACATTCGACTCTACAAGAGGCATAGAGAACTGTATTCCCTATGCCAAAATGACACCAGTATACATAGGAATAAATAACATATTACACATTCATCTACACTGTACCATGCTATACACTTGATCATTAGTCTGGTGGCCCCAGACTACAAAACTAATCTGTAGGGCAGCCTATAATATAATATTAATAATAATAGATCTGGATTTATATAGCCCTTAATACAGAATACCATCTCAAAGCACTTTACAGATATTACTTACCCTGGTCATTAGATTCATTCATGCAACATTTCCACTCCCTGGGGAGTATTCCTAAGCATATGGTCACTAGGAGGGCATATGGCAACACAAAGGCCTTTGTCATCCTACCAGGTCCCCATTACTCTCATGGGTGTAGATGGGCAAAAGTAAGTTAATGTCTTGCCAAAGGACATTAGTGGTATTATGGTATGATAAATTTAAGTGAAAACCTTGCTCTATTTTCTTTTCACATGATTACTGTGCATTTAGGAAGACAGTGAATACAGATAGAAGATGCCTAAATGCAAAATGACAAATATTCAACCAATCTTGGTGATAAATTGAACATTGAGGCGACAAGAAGAGCAAAATCAATACTTCAGCCGCTCAAAAGGGAACACAAATATTAACTTACCGTAGTGTCAAGCCCTGTATCATGTCAAATCAGTTTTCAAGATAAATAAGCACAACAAGCGATTCAGCATTCTTTGGTTTACTAGTATTCTCCTGCAAACAGTTTCATACTCAGGACAGTAGAAACTACAATCCTTTCAGCCAGTAGATACCAGGACCCTGTTTCTAAGCCTGGTTATCCATAACAACTTACAATAATCTATACAAGCTACTAAATTGATGGAATTTCATTTGTTGATGCCAAATTTGATCAAGCATTATTGCTGGCGTGTTCAAATCAAGTTTTGTAAAACGGGATCCTGTAACACATAATTTTTTGATTCTCTTCAAATCCCCCAAGTTAATTGTATCTTCTTCAATCAATCGCAACTTTACAATAAATAATATCTTGCAATTGATTTCATGTTACACATAGATACAATGCATGGTAAGATGCAATTCATTGCAGCAACATTTGAGATGCAATAGACTATTACAATTTTTGGTTTGCAAGTCAATTTTTTTATGTAACAGGACCCTGATGTAAGGAAAATAATCTTTCATAAATTAACTGTACTACTACCTGAAGTACATATAATTCCCATGAATTATTCAAATTACACCATATCCAAACTTCATCGAAGCAGAGATGATTTGGAAGTGAACACCATCACAAATCCTCTTATCAAAGGTGATGGACAACGTTTTCACAAGTTAAAGAAGTAGAAAATGTTCTTTGTATACTTCAATTGATGCTCTTTGGATTTATTTCATAGGGTAGACCATATCTCCGTTGTCACTTTGGTATAAAAGCCTCATCAAAAATTTGATTTTTCTCAATTTCCCTTGACACACGCACAGGTGACAATTGCTCTGTTGCCAAATCCTAAAAAGAACTACTGTTAACCAAATTCCCAACTTTAATACTAATATTCTGTTTTTATATAGCGCTCAATACATCTATCCAACGATGTGCCTAAGCGCTTTACAGATATATTATTAACCCAGTCATCAGATTCAGGCTTACCCGCACACAATGTGTGCACATTTTCCACTCCCTGGGTATCATTCCAGCCAGTCGCCATTTACAAGCGCACACTTGCTCGTCCAACCACATGAACTTTCGTATCCTACCGGGTACCCATCTAACACCTGGGTGGAGAGTAGCAAGTGCAGATAAATATCTTGCCAAAGGATATTAATGCCGTGTCGGGATTCGAACCCTCGACCACGACACTCCCAACTTTGATCTTGGACCTAACACTACATCTCATCAAAACCCTGAACTAACATAAAACTGAATTGCATGTGACAGATAACCCACATGTTTATGAGTAATGCCCGAGTTGCTTCATTTTAGATACAAAATGTATTTCAGTTAGATTGTTTTTGAGTAGGACTATTTACATTGATACTGTCACAATAAAGAGTAATTTGAATACCAAAAGGAGATTAATATTCAGCCAGACATTTAATATTGCTTCTTCTTATAGCTGATATCATACATGTATTTTTACATACTATGTATCACTGTTCCAATTTCTACATGCATCAAGATTTTTGTAACAATCCAGCATAGAACATAACAGATGGGACTACACAGACACATATAGCCTAAGATATAACTATGCTAACATGAATACCTCTGTATTTTCTATAGCGGTTGGTAGCTTCTCTTTGAGCACTTCTTTACTTGTGTAGATGTGTAGGCCTAGAAGATTGCAGCAGCTTTAAACCATATTGCTAATAACCATCCAGCATCGAGCATTACAGATGAGATAACATTCATGTATCAATTATACCTATGCTAACGTGAATCCCTCTGTGTGTTCTATAGATGTTAATAACTTTTCTTTGAGAACCTCTTCACTTGTGTAGATGGGTAGGTCTAGGAGATTAAAGCACGTATGAGCGACAGGGAAGAACTCCTCTCCTCCTTTGACGGGTTGGATGATGACCTGAAGACTCTTCCAGCCCTGGATAGGCACGTGATTGCTGCCAGTGAGGAAGACTAGAGTGATAGAGAAAAGAGAGAGAGAGAGAGAAATAGAGAGAGAGAGAGAGAGAGACAGGGAGAGAGAGAGAGAGAGACAGAGAAAGAGAGAGAGAGAGAGAGAGAAAGAGAGAGAGAAAGAGAAAGAGAGAGAAGGTAAGAAAGGTTGGGGTAGACATAACATAACAAGCAAGGTAAACATATACAAGAGCAATATAGCAGGGCTCAACACTATCAAGGGTTCAAATCACAATTTGAATTCCAGATCCCTAGAATTTAGAAAAATATAAACACAATAGGCACCTGCATACAGTGCCCCTGTTTAGAAATCCAAATGACAAAAGTTAGAGTTACCGGTAATGGACTAAGCCAAGAGCCAATATCACTGGGATAAATGTTCAAATCGCCCTCAAGAAAGTGATAAAGGAGGGATACGGGAAAGGGGTGAGGGGGATGGAGGGATGGAGGGAGGGAGGGGAGGACGAGGAGGTTAAGAGGGAAAAGAGAGAGCAACAAGAAGAAATAGCTTACCCAGAAACTTTTTCTTGTCTTCCACTGACATCTCTCTGAAGACTTGCCAGAAGAACTTGATGGTAGGATGTCCTGCACTGTACTCTCCCTTGTACTCAACATTCTGCATGAAGAGTGATGAAATAATAAATTAGTTAATGGTCTATTCAGACAAGAGGCAGTCAACTGCATTTAAAAGAAACATTGACATTAGTTCCTGAGGCTGAAAGGAACCCAAGCACACCTCCACCACACACCTCTAAGAATCCACTAACACTACAACTACCACTGTTACCCACCACCCTCATCATCACCACCACCAATAATCACACGTACCTTTTCTAGGTCATCCCCATTGATATCCTCATTACCGACAATTATCCTGAGGATAAGTCCACCTAACATTTCTAGGAAACCACTCATCCAACTGTCACTACTGCCACTACCATGTTCCACTTCTACATGTACCAGTATCTTACCCCACTACCCCGACCATTATCCCCACCACCACCACCACCACCACCAGCATCACTTCTACATACCTCCTCCAGCTCATCCCAGTTGAACTCCTCATTACCGATGACCATCGCCATGAGTTCTTGAGGATGAAAGAACCTCAGGACATGCCCACCACACACTTCTAGAAATCCACTGCTGAAGGCCTCAAATTGCTCCTTCACAGACTCGTTGAGGCGATAGTTCACGTAGGCCGCAACATACTCATTCCTGTATTAAGATAGAGAATGGTCAAATAAAACAATTGCTTTTGTCCAGAGAAAGCAAATTTCTTTAAAATGTATCGAAATTCAGACACCCGATGATAACTAACTGACACATGATACAGCTAGCGCCTCTCTATTATAGCAGGATGGAGCACATATAGATTATCAAAACTCCTTGTTTCTAAAAACTGGCAATGCACAATTGGAAACAAAATATTGATAAAATACTATTTTACAGATAATCAGCATGCATGCAGGCATTCAGCTCTATTGTTGGATGAGGAATAATGAATATCAATCACTGTAATCTCATTATCAAAACCCCAAAGCACTCTAGCACATATTTTACATTGATTAAACGATATCCTTCTAAACTTAAAAACCTACTTACCTATTCTGGAAGGTTAGTTCTTTCTCTGAGCCGTTGGGAACTAGATCGCTTGTCTCCACCTCTCCAAAGTTATCCTCATCGATCTGGAAGAAGAGAGGGAAGGTATCGCCGAAGGTCTCTGGGTCGTCATAGTCAAGCATGGATTGGAGGTTATGTGCAACCTGGGGTTCTAGATGCTTGAAGTCATCCAGGCTTGTCTCACTAGTCAAGGTGGACAAGGAAAGAAGGATAAAAAAATAAATTAGTGATAATGATGGTAATGATGACAGGATTCTGTGACACATACTCAGGAGACATTAATCCCCAAGGTTAACTTAAAGGCAGTGTTTAACAATATTAAATCCGAGATGCATGGCCCTACGTGTTATAAGTGTCTGTGGTATGGTGTAATATTGAAGCCCTAAAAAAATTGTGCTTCAAAATGATCAAGAAGTGCCTCAAAGAAGTAAAAATCTTTATGTGACCGGTTTTACCATACTCATTTTCTCTAATAGACTGTAGTGTTATGAAAATTGTTAGGAAAACGCAAAATTTGATTTTGATTTCCAATCATCAATATCTTGATAATCAGACAAGCGATCGCCTCGTAAATGTCATGGGGTTTCCTGACTGACCTAAATCCAGGATTTTGTTTCAGAATCTGAGACAAAGATCCCCCATCCCTAATCAGCATCCTGACTGCATCCCTGGCCAATAGCTATGATACCTACCCCCAAAAACTAAAAAACAAACACTGAATTTGATCACAACCCTGCCCCTTTAACCCTTTACTTTTGATGAAATGGGGCCCAGAGCAACCTCTCAGGAGCATGTTCCGATCACGGATGATGATGGTGGGGAAGAAGATGATGAAGATAATAAGAGTGGTATGATTGATGGAAATGACTGAATACTGTCATGAGGTTGAAGATGTGACATCAATAAGGCCCATCATTTATAATAATAACGATGATGATGGTGAAGATGATGGTGATAGATGTTGTTGTTTTTATTTCCGTATAATAAAAAAAAAATCAGATACAAATACAAATATACGGCTGGTTGCCCATATTCAGCTGCAACTGTAATTGTTGCTGCTGGTCTTCCATGGGGCCAGTTTACAATATACAAAATATACAATATTACGAATTAACAAAATAAATAATTACAAACTATCAGTCGAAAACTTAATACAAATACTTAAAGGAAAAAAACAAAATGATGATGATGACGATGATGATAATGACAATGTTAAAATATTTTTGTGCTGCAGATATAGCTAGTGTTATTTTCTCCCCAGAAAAAGAAATCACAGAAAAACAATCAATGATATTCAAAATACACTTTTTTCCTGAGGATACAAAGTACTAAATACTAAGAATACAAGAAAGAACTAAGTAATTATAAATAAAGGAAGATATCAGCCGGTTCTTTACCTATCTAAGAGTTTCTTGTAGAGAGCTAATGGAAAGGGCAGTGAGATGATCATGTTGTTGTAGATAGCTAGACCACAGACGAGACCGACAAGGCGAAACATCTTAGTGTCTTCAAACGACTAGGTGAAAAGAAAAAAAGGCAAACAAGCAAAACTTGATAAAACCATGTACTTATTATACAGATAGAAATAATGAAACAGCTAACCCAAAACACACAATGCCTCTGACACCATAGTGAATTAAAAGACATCATAAAACTTCTTTTGTGTAATGCTCAAATATATCTCCAAAGTATATTGGCTTGAGAAAGCCCACAGGAGTGGATGCAAGCTTGCCTCCTCAATAATTAAGCAGGTAGATACTTCAACACTATAAATCAAAATTACATATATCAATTTTGTTTGCAATAATGTTCTGCATTTATACATCACTTAATGCATCAAAGATGTTTCTAAACCCTTTTAAACAGATATATTATTGAACCACTACCACAATACCCCAAATGTGTCGTACATTCAAGATAAAAGCACACTTTTTCAGAGAAAAGTTGTTGTAGTGGGTACTTTCTTACCTTGCTGTTAAACCAGATTTTTCCTGAGTCATCAAAGTATCTGAACATGCCATACTTAGGATCTAAGATCTCTCTCATAATCAGCATAAAGAATTCCTGGCAATAGGAAAGAAAATACACCAGGCAAGAGCTAATTAAAAATTCATGATCATTCTTTAAAATTACACTTTAGTTTCAAAGATATATTGACTAGACTAATTTAATAACTATTCAAATTTTATGCATATTTTTTAAAGCTCCTCTAAAGTGTTGGTAGCCCCAAATTTGCTAAAAAACTTGAGGCAAAATTTAATTCAAATATCAATTTTCTTCTTTTTTGTTGTGGGAGGGGGGGGGGGGGGGCTGATTTTCTATTCATTTCTGTTTTGCATTTTTTTTTAACAGTGTAACACCATAGCGATTGACATTTACTGAAATTACCATTTTTGTTTAAATCAATAAAACCACTTATCTATTTAGCAACTCTGGCACGTTGGTGTAAAGGCTTGCTACATGTAATACACAATGTATCGTCTAATAAAATCTACGGCATACATGGAATTTGCATTCTGAAAATGTGAAAATTTGGCATAGTTTTATTTTACCTTTTGGACGCCTCCAGCATCGATGGCCTCCTCTCCAACGAAGATGACCTTGAGAGGTTTCTTGAGCTCACTCTTATCTAGATGACCGAGCTGATCTATGGCTGACGAGACCAGGTTCTCTCTCATGACGCACAGGATGAGGCACGGGTTCACCGGGTCCATGTTGAAGAAGACGCTGGCAAAGTTGACACGCTGGACTTCTTCCATGGCAAACTAAACAGCACAATCAAAGGTAAATTGGATGAACTGTCAATGCCTCGGTGACAGTTGCTGCTGGCTTTATACGTTATGTCAAAGAATAGTCCCAAATACTAATTTCTGTGTGTGTAATGCTGTTCACTGGATGCGATTTTTCAGCAAGCTTTAATCAAATTATTATATTGATGATTTTAAAACCCTGAAATACACAATTATTTATATGGCCTACATGATGATAATGATAATAATAATAATAATAATAAAAGGTATTTCTACTGTGCACTCTCTTATATATTACCACTCAAGGCGCAACAATGTAATATGATAAAAAAATACTTCAGAGTTATCTTAACAAAAAACAACTAAAACAATATGAAACATGTAACATTAATCTATCTTTCTAAATCATTATTTTTTACATTACAATTGTATAACCAGAACTTTGTTTTTATCTTTAATGAGTGTTTCGTTAAAGTATTTTTTTATTTAAGTTTTCTTCCATGACCTGACTCACCTGCATCTGAAGAAGAGCATCGAGGTGTAGAAGTGAAGACTTCATGTCAGCATCAAACACAAACGGGTAGTCACAGAATGTCTTGGAATCACAACCCTGCCATTATACAGGGTAAAATCATTGTTACTGTACTAATTGTTTTGTAGAGGTGTCGTAATCAAGTGGTTTAAGCACTTGACCTATAAACTTGCAAAGGTCTTAGGTTTGATATGTAGTTCACATCTAGTTATAGAGTTTCAAAAGATCAAGAAACTGAACCTCTACTGTGAGATTGAACCCCTTCAGGACTAAAAGAACACATCCCAATCCTTGATGTTTCATGTATATTTGATGATAATCCTTTTGTGGATCTACTTTAGTAAATAGATTTGATTTATATGTTCAAGTGCACAACATATTGCATATGAATACAACTACTTCATGGACTATCACCCTAAACAACTACCTACATAAAAACTACCCCCTTGGACAATGACAAACCTGTCATGGAAAATTGCACAGGGTACATGAATTAGAAGGTAGATGTCTGGGATGTAATCTTCTAAAGGGTAATTTGGTGGTGGTGGTGATGGGGGGGGGGGGGGGGGGGAGGGGGGAGGGGGAGGGGGAGGGGGTGATAGATAGAGTGCTAATGCAGGGCAAAGTTGTCCTAGAATCACTACGAAATGAGTTGAAATGGCTCAACTTACCGTGCTATGTAAGACTGTATTCTTGAAGAACTGTAGGAAGTCATCCTGCATATTGATGTACTTGCCAATGTTTGGTATGTGGAACTTGTAGTAAGGTAGAATCTCCCCACTTCTGAGATTGAGCTATACAGTGTGAAAAAGGTGGAAATGTATTAATATGAGTAAAACCTGGAAACATTTTTTTTGTTGTTGATAGACAGTAAATCAAGTTACGTAATTCCACAACATTTTGATTTGTTCAGGCGACCAGCAATTACAGTAAGCATATTTTCCCTTTGAACTCACTTTCTTACATAGGTAAATGATTAGAGTACTTTTATTTTTAGTATTTGAAAAAAAAAAGGAAGTCATCTACCGTTTAATCATGGCAAGGAACTTTTTAAATCAAAGATTGTGGATTGCGGTGTGGTGAACAAAGGCATAGCCACCTTTTCCAGTGAATGAGAATGTAAAGATCTATAAGGAACACCAGATAACAGCTATCTATAACCCAAACTGGGATCCTTCTTCCCTGGAAGCTTAAAGTTTTGCAATCTCAAAAGTTTGGACAAACACACTCACATACCAGCTGACATAGATTTTTATATATGTCTGGTCCACATCAACATACTACTTTACATGCTAAGGTAAGATAAAAATAAATGTAACGTCTTGTTTGATTGATATTCCACTTCCAAAGGAAAAGAAACTAGATGGAATTCGACTGCGCGCAGTCGAAAATGATGCCTCCGTCATAGAGCAATTTTACAAACCAAAACAGAAGAAATTTTTCGGATTCAAGTTCAATTGTAATCCATTGACAGGTTCTCAGAATATCGTGATTACAAGCAATTTCTCATATACATATATACCCTTTGATCTTTGACCTCATGACCCTAAAATCTACTCAGTTCATTGGCTCTGCAAGATGTCCTGAGTTAAATAGTAATCCATCTGTCAGTTCTAATGAGAATGCGTTCACAAGCTATTTTTGCATACATAATGAGCCCATGATCTTTGACCTTTGACCTTATGAACCAAGAATCTACTCAGTTCATTGGCTCTGCAAGTAACATACATGACCTAATTTTGGCAGGAATCCATCAATCGGTTCTTGAGATAACGCGATTACAAGCTGTTATTGCATACATAATGTGTGCTGTGGCCTTTGACCTTTGACCTCATGACCACTAAATCTAATCAGTTCATCGGCTCTGCAAGTGACATACATGACCTAAGTTTGGCAGCAATCCATCAATCGGTTCTTGAGATAACGCGATCACAAGCTGTTTATGCATACATAATGAGCCCTGTGACCTGTGACCTTTAACCTCATGACCCCAAAATCTAATCAGTTCATTGGTTTTGCAAGATACATACATGACCAAAGTTTGGCAGGAATCCATCAATCGGTTCTTCAGATAACGCGATCACGAGCTGTTTTTGCATACCTAATGAGCCCTGTGACCTTTGATCTTTGACCTCGTGACCCCAAAATCTAATCAGTTCATCGGCTCTGCAAGGTACATACATGACCAAAGTTTGGCAGGAATCCATCAATCGGTTCTTCAGATAACGTGATCACAAGAACGGGACGTACGTACGTACGGACGGACAACCCGAAAACAATGCCTCCGGCTACTTCGTAATGGAGGCATAAAAACAACAACTTCACGGCCGCTTAGTATTAACAGTACCTTGTTACCTATCAACAATAATGAAAGAAATCCTGAAAAGAAAAAGGGGGGGGGGGGGTACCAAAACTGTAGTATGGTTTAACTGACCTTGTGTAGTTTATGAAGCACCCTAACAGCTGTCCACTGTGCTTGGAGATCCCCTGTAGTGGATGCTGACCGGGACTCTAAGATGGACACTACACAGTCCATATGAACGGTCAAGATACGATTGAGATGGCGCGGTTGCAGGCCCGACCACCATCTGTCTGATATATATATATAATTAGGATTTAGTTTTGAAAGCCATTGTTTAAAAATATTACCTCTTTAATAATAATAATAATAATTTAGTGGGTTCTTGTAAAGCGCTCATGTCTGTCGGACTTGACACTCCTGGCGCTCCTGATTGATTGTAGTTTCTTAGAAAAACATTGATTTGTGCTCCTTTGGGGAATTAAACAGTGATATTTATACACAATATTTACAATACATACACTCATGTTGAGTTAACAGAGGAAATACAAGATGTTTTGTCCACAAATATCAGATATGATAATTTCTAAATGTGGTGGTATACACTGCTTATAGCCAGGATATTCTACTGGCACTACTTTGGATTTACGTATGCTGCCATCTGCGCTGCTCACAATGTCCTGATGTGCTACTTGCGCCCTCTATACAGCCAACAATGCCTATGTAGTGACCATTGATCCCCAATGATCCCCTTTTTCTTATGTTAATTGAGAGCTGATTTGATGAGATAACCACCTGCCAGTGACCAGCAGGGAGGTCTGATCCCTCCTGGCCAAACTAGTGCAGACAGGCTTTAAAGTGACTTGGTAACTTTATTTAGATGAGAGAAAATGGTGCTACCTCTCCAATGCTAGATGTACAGTTACAGATAATCTGAAAATTTGAGTGAAAACGGACCATTATTAATGATACAAATTGGGAAAAACTGATCTGATTGATTTCTTCAAAGAAAATCATAAATATCTGTGCGGTTTGAGAATTTTGTCTGGTGTTTTTGCATGTTAGAGGGTTAATACAGTAAAAGGAATAGAAGAAGTAACATTTCATACAAAAACTAGGCAGTTTTTAATCAACCTTCAACCATGTTAGTGTGTCACTTTAAGACAGTGTGTGTGCAAAAGTAAAACCTGTTTGAATTGATGAATGAAGGTCGAGATATACCTATCGTTTCCTCAGCTGTTGATGGCAAATTCAGTAGGGCCTTCCCTATCTGAAGAATGGTTTGTCTGCACCACTGTTGCTCAGGGTGGCTGAGAGCGGGACATTCCATTATTAAGAGGTAGAGCCTAAGGCATTCAGGCAACGGGTATACTGAGGGGTGTTTCTGAATGGTGGGGATGAGATGTGTGTTGAGGATCCCTGAGATCTGAGGAGGAAGACAAACAAAAACAACAATAAATGACAAATTGAAGAGTGTACTAATAGCCAAAAGTCAACCAAAACACAAGCATCCTATATCCATTTCGTCAGGGAAGGAGAGGCTGCAAATGGTTCAGGCAGAAGTTCTAAAGGAAGGCAGAGGACTTGCCTTGATGGAGCTAGCGATTGGAACATTTGACTCGACTTGGGGGAGAAGTTAATTTTCCTCCATCCATTTCTTTTTGGGGTTTTTGTTTTTACTCATCGCCCTCTCCCGGCCGTTTGTTTGGTTTTTCACATTAGGTTAGGGTTAAGAATCTGTATAGAGGAATATTAAGTGGTAAGTAGAGAGAGAGAGAGAGAGAGAGAGACAAAGAGAGAGAGAGAGAGAGAGAGAGAGAGAGAGAGAGAGAGAGGTAAATAGAGAAACATAACAGGAAAAGGAGGGTAGATGATGACGATGACAGAAGACAGTGAAAGAGGAATAAAGGAAGATAGATGACAGATATCAAAATATAAGAGATGGAGGGGATTAGTGACGGAGATAGAGGCACAAAAAGAATGGGGGGGGGGGGGGAGCAACAGAACAAATTTGACATAAATATTGAGCAAATTGAAATGCAACGTATTCTTACCAATTTAATAATGTCCATCTTTCCTGAGAGGCATTCAAATGCTGACCTCGCAGCATCCAAATCAACGCCATGCTTCTCACTCGCATTATTACAAGGGTTATGATCATCATTCCTAAAACAAAGCAAAACAATATGTGGAATAGAATTCAAAACTACTGTCTATGATGCCTAATTATAGGTATATGTAGTATGTATGGAAATAAACACCTTGCGTACTAATATGGCAATTGTTTGTCTTCTATGCCTGTCTTCTCATAGCAAATTAAAATGGCATTTTATATGTCAAGTTTTAATGGGCAATGTCTTTATGATTATGGCTGTGAGTGGCCTCTCTTAAGCTATGGTCACAAATCAGAGCAGCGACCGACCGATCAGTAGCCTGACGGTCACTGCTGGAATTTAGGCATCGGCCAGCGATTAGGTTGGTGCCTGGGCGGCGAGTGAAAAGTGAGCAGACGCCGCCCAAATTTTAACTCGGCGCTAAAACTTCAGCGGCAACCGAGCGATGCCCTAAAAAAGGGGGGTGCCTGGGCAACCGCCGCTCGGTGGCCGGGCAGCCGCCGGGTTAAAAACTCGCTGCTCGGCCGCCGAGCAGGCTACTTTTGGGTAATGTGACCACAGCATAAGAGAATATAATTGAATTGTTGGCATTTGAATGTCTTCCAGTCGGGAGAGGTCAAATCAGCTTTTTACTGCGTAGTTGCACAATAATGATGAGGACAGTGATGGATAGTTTTGGGTCATTTATATCATCATTAAAAGGTATTTGGCATCACCTATGTCTTGGAGGTGGAAAGCGAACTGAATCACTGTAACTCTCGGGTCTCTCCTCCAAATATAACTAATTTGGGTTGTGCAGGTGGACCACTACAGCAAAGTTCTCCCTACTCTTATACAAAACGTGCCGTGGGTTCTTAACACACAAAGGTGGTGACCCTCCTCTGCACAAGACCTCCATTTAACATCCATTACCAGGTGCTATCATCATGGTGTTCATAGCTATATATTACCAAAATTGTAAGACAATGAGTGATTTCAAGTTGGGTGTTTCGGGCTGGTGTTAGTGTTTAATAAACACTTACACCAGCCCTAAACGGCGAAATGGAAATCAGCTGGTGTTAAGGCTTTGACCTCTGAATATCGTCAACTTCCAGTAGCTAGTATTATCGATTTTGCAAAATTGTCGTCTGCTGAACCGACCTTTGTGGCTGGTGTTAATATTTTACGTACACATGTCCTATTCACTAACACTAGCCCCTATGGATTAAGCAAATGTTGATTTCCAGTTCGGTGTTAGTGTTAAGCTATCGATATGAATATCAGGCTCTTAATTTCATCGGCAAATTTTTAGCTCGATTTAAGAGCTCTTGACTGCTCTAAACACTAACACCCAACTTGAAATCACTCAATGCTTCACTGTGAATAAAGTAGAGCTGGAAGCCCTCAATCTGGTGAGATAAAAGGTGAGATGCATTTCTTACCCAACAAGGAAGGATGCATTGAGGCAAGCTGGAGATGAGAGGGCCATTTCTAGGGTCTGCACTGCTTTGGACGGCTCTAGTAGAGGACTACTTTCTGACACTTCTTGCAGCAAATCTTTTGTTAAAACTACAGGCTCTATGCTTGGAATCGCTTCCCTAAAGTCAAGAGGATGATCAGGGTCCTACAAAAACATCAATTTGGCAGAAAATTTAAAGTTCACTTGTATTTTCCCATTGCGTTGATCTGATTTATTGATTTCTGTCTCAACATTCATATACACATTTTCATACTCATGAACAACATATACCTTGGAAATATACCTTGAAAGTAGGCATTTAAAGATAACAACTTATTTGCCTCTTGTTGACATTAGGATGAAGAATCTATATTGTTGACAAACATGGACAAGCAAAAAATATAGAGAAATTGTAATAGTAGCAATGTAAATTACGAATTTACAAATCTTATTAGAAGATGCTTTAGTAAGTAAGTAAAACGAAGATACAGCATTGCACACATCTTGTGTATGCAGCACTCATTGTCACCTCTTTGTAGAGTATACATTTACCATCCAAAAATGAGTAGCCTTTATGACATTATCCTGGAATTTTCTTTATACACGATAAAGAGTATAGAGGCTATATCACCCTCTGTCCCCAATCACCATTTTTTTAGATTTTAGATTTAGATTTTACTAAGACACACCTCCATACAAAATTGGAAAGAAATCCGTCAGGAAATGCGGCAGTTAGAGCACATAAAAGACATATGACCTTTGACCCTATAAAGGACAACAGAACAATGAGGGCAGCATCACCCAGAAGTGTAGATGTGTAGATTCTACAAAGGTATATCTCCATACAAAATTTGAAAGAAATCCGTCATGAAATATGGGGGGGAGGGGGAGGGGGGGGGGGATAAAATTACATGAGCCAAACCACAAAATCAACTTACATTTCCCCTCGAGACAATACAAAATGACTGGTCTCCACCTGCAAAGATAGACCCAATGATAGACCTAGACTCCTCTCCATTGGAACATCCCTCAGTACTACTTGGTGCTTCCCATGGACCAGGAACAGGACTTGCACAAGACTTGGAACTGTCATTGTCAAGTCCAAGCTGACCTTTGCTTCCTTGACCTAAGGAGAAGAACCTTCCAGTGCGGCCCTCCAGGACAAGAGTGTGCTGCCTGAATAATAACAGCAACAAAGGAAAAATGTTACATGAATTTGAAAATTGAGATCAAATTGGAATTTTGCTGACAAGACATAATAGTAATGATTCCAGGATATAAACATTTGCAAACAATTTGTATGCCTCTGCCCACCGAAGGGGGTGCCAGAGGAATTATGTTATAGGATTTTCTGTTCATCCATCCGTATGTACTTCTGTCTGTCCCGTTTTCTTGTTATTGTGATATCTCAAGAACTACTTGAGGTATTAACTTCAAACTTGGTAACAGTATGTATCACCATAAGAAGATGATCTGATTAGATCTTGGGAGTAAATAGGTTTGATTTTTTTTGTTCTTGATTTTATTTATTTCTACATTTTTTCCATATAAAATATAACTGAATAACAAAGAACATATAAATGTAAGGTATAATACAACATAAACAAACAATAATTTCTTCATGTCAAAATGTTTTTTTTACATAATATATGTACATAATATTCCATAACATATAATCATAAATTTAAAGTATTATCCGAACTATTCTGTTGGAAAAGTGCAGGTGACAGGTCAAAGGGCATGGAGATACATTTCTGAAATTAACTTCATATTAATTGCAAAGAGATTGGAGATTTGTAAGTTTGCGATGGCAAGATTTGGGTTCATTTCAGATCAAGTGCAAATTTTTGTAATACGGGGCTCTGTATGTACCTTCCACAAGCCACCTGTGTGATCTCACTGCCCAGGAAGCCCTGGACACTCCTTGGGTTGACCTCGTTGCTGTGTGACCCATGACCCAACTGACCTTCTGACCCCTGGCCGAAGAGGAACAGTCCCCCGGACTACCAAAAAAAATGAGAAGACATCACAAGTATAATTATCATCATCAGTACCATCAAGATCATGTTCACCATCATTAACATCATCATCCTCATCATCATCATCATCATCAGTACCATCAAGATCATGATCATGATCACCATCATCATCCTCATCATCATCCTTATCATCACTGCCAAATATTCTTGAAACTAAATGATTATCTGGAGTATCACTCATTGTTTTCCTTCATAGGCAAATAGCCAACATACATTGGGTTTGGTTTGGATCAGCAGAATGAAAATAGAATCTAATATTCCTAAATTATACACACGTAAAAGCACAAAATCGAAATTGCAAATTTGGGATTAGAGAAAAATGGTAATTTATTTATAGATACAGATGATTGTCCCCATCTAATGCTTAAAATTTAAAATCTGTTTGTCAATCTAAAGGGACATTTCAAAGGGGAATATTTATTTACCACTTATGCATGCGCAGTACTGCTATTGAAATTAGCCTATAAAGGAACTCTATAAACATCAAACAAATTTCCATGGCAACTGAACACTTCAGAATCTGATCTTCCTCATTGGTCTTGTTTCATTGTACTTTGAAGAAATGAGGAGGACTTACTGCTGTGAGTATAGCTGTATAGTTCTGTCCACAGGCAATGTATTTCACCTGTTTAGTTTTTAGATTCTTCAGTGGAGTTGGGGAGACTCTATCTGCATTGGGAAGATTAAAAGACAGCAAATAATACACAAATATTGACTGCTATGGGGTGAATATGATTAAGTTCCTAATCTGTATTGAAATCGGTTCACGTGGACTCATAACCCCACAAAATAAATACCGCCTAAAGGAAATCCTCAAAATCACTAACTCAACTACGTACCCGGAATCCAGGGACGAAATAGTGAAGGCCGTTCTTTCTAGTTCTTATGTTATATTCCAAGGAAGACGTGAGCCAGCATGGCAATTTGATCAATACCTTTAATTTATCAATCTATATACATTAATTTTTCATAATTTCCTGTTTATCAATGAACTTGTAACCATTCTGTACCAAAATGACAATATTTACCGTAATACGTAATTTATCTTGATTCAATTATACACTATTCATTTATGTATCATGTATGGGGGAATTTTTCCTTCCTCATCATAATGTTTTCTACTTTTCTCCTTTTCTCCTTTTCACATCTTCCTTTTCCCTTTTTCTCTATCCCGGTGCTCCTTGTTATCACATATACTATTACACTGTAACTTGTATCGTTATTGTTAATGTACTTTGTTATTGTATATATTGTTCATTATAACCTGCCGCCTAACCCACTGGGTTGACGGCCTGGTTTTTGTGTGTACATGATCTCTAATAAAGACTTGATTTACTACTAATATAATTGCCACAGGCAATCTTGTTTCCTGACACAAAGTCAAAGGATTTTTTTTCTAAAAGAGGAAATGCCTAGCTTAAAAAACAGGATAAAACTTGTCCAGGTTGAACGTTCCTAACCCTGCCAAAAAACAGAGATGAATGTCCAACCTTAAAATAATTTTATTTTAGAGAAAACTGCATTTAAAGTCTATTTGGGAAATCTAAGTCCCAATTAGAACGTAATTGAGCTCTTGATGAAAACCACACTATGAGATTTTGTGGTGGTTAAATGGTGCCTGGTCACATATTGTAACCCTGTTCCCCTCAGAAACGTTATACCTCAAGAACGTTTTTACACAGTCAAAGAATACCGTAATTATCGGTGTATTAACCACACTTTTTTGCCGCTGAAAAGAATTCAAAGTCGGGGGTGCGTCTTATACTAGGTACACAAAAAAAAAAAAAAATTAAGTTTCGATTTATGCCCCTCCACCTGGCAATGTCTCCCAGCTCAGTAATCGGTGTGTTGACTTAACACTAGGAAACTAGAACGACACTCAAATTTGTCAGTCATCTTGGTTTGAAAGTAATCTTTCTGATAGATCTCAATATGTAGTTTATAATAATAATTCCTCCAATTTTTCTTCTATTACATGGCGTACCACAAGGTTCTATCCTAGGTCCTCTACTGTCTTTTAATTTACATTAATGATCTTACACATTCAGCTGCACCTCACAGTTAAATGAAAGGCCTCACGCGTGGGTTTTTTAACACGGACCCGGCAAAAAAGAGTTGGCAAAAAAGAGGGGTGCGGTTAATACACGAGGGCGGTTTATACACCGTTAATTATGGTACACATAATCGGGGAATGTTCTAGGAACATGCCTCACCTTCTGTTGTTCCAAGGCCCAGTTGTCCGCAGTTGTTCTTGCCCCAACCAAAGACAGCCCCAGAGACGGACAGGGCGAAGGAGTGCCAACCCCCACAAGCCAACCTCCTGATCGGGACACCAGGGAGGGAAGATAGCTGCTGTGGATGATCTCTGTACAGAGTCCGTCCGGGGGCTCCGATGCCAAGTTGTCCAAACGAATTGTCACCCCATGCAAATATTCTGCCATCTGTTATACATACAAGGAATGGCAATATAAATGGAAAATAAGCCTTCTTTATTCATAGACGAACATTTTAAAAAATTTAAAGTTTGAAGGCCTGCAAAGATAAGTACTGGATTATTTTTACAATTATGAAAGGTAACACCAAATTTGTTATAGGTTCATAAAGTTCAGTTGCCATGTTTTCAAGCTGAAATTAGAATCCATAATATACATTGTTACTAGTGGGCAAAATGTTAATACATAGCTGAACAGATTCACACACCAAATGAGATTTAACAGAATAACAAAGGGTTTGTACTTTCCAACTGCATGGGATTATTTTTCCAACTGTTTGACATTATCATTATCATGGAACGGTCGGATGATACACTTGCTATCATATGAAATTCTAAAAGCACAAGTTCTTGCAGATAAACAAACACTACAGAATGTCAACAATTGTCACTGCTTTACCTCTTGTAAGGGCCATGGAGTGCATAGATCCACATACTACTTGTGCAACCTGGCATGATGATAAGCTCTTCAAAAATCTATTAGGTACAAAGCAAAGGAATAAAAGGCAAATTTAGCATGTTTGATATAGTACATCACATCCACAGGTATGTATCTGACAAATAGCACCGCTAACAATTACTATTAAAACTATGTAAACTTATTTTGATTCCTTGTACGTTTGTAAAGCAAAACAAATTTCCAATATTGGACAATAAATTGAAATTTATTTGATTGACTTGATACAAATATGTTTTATCATCAAATGCCTTCAATTATGGAATAAATGAGGAATGCTACAGATTTTTTTCTAAAAGTTGAATGAGTTGAACTTGACTCTAAATACTTCTATACACATGAAACAACACAAATTTGAAAAACCCAACATATTTCCTTGAATTACTACAATTTTCAAATGTATGCTGAGTGCAACCATACTTTTCAAGGGCAACATTTATTCAAGAAGTTTTTCAATGCAACTCATTTTAATTTTCACATTTGAATAAAAATTACAATAACATATACATTGAAAGAGAATAAATAAATAAAATAAAACATAAACAAATTCAAATATGGTGGGATTTGCAAAGGCCACAGGCCTATCAACGGCAAACCCCTTTACCAAAAATGTGATATGCGTATATGTTTAAGAAACGAACAAAGAAAGAACAAAAACACAAAAATGGCATAAAAATAATATCTAATTTATTAAGCATAATATTTGAATGCATTACCCCATTGACTACCAAATTCTTCTATTCACATTGGTCTAAATGTAGGAGCTACCTTTTTCCCGGAGGCGACAGGTTAATAAGAGGCCTATTATTACCTTGGTTTTCTCTTGTCTTCACTGTCTCCAGTGGACAACCCACACTGACCCCTGTCATTTCGACCCCATCCTAGAACTTGACCTCTATCTGTGACCGCTAGGGTGTGATCATTACCGCAGGAGACTTGAGTGATCACCAAGGTCTCTGTAGCAGGTACATGGGCTGCAATGTGATGAAGAAACACAGGAAAAATATAGAAAATATAAGACTTTTTACGCCATTCAGTAATATAGCTCTACAATAATACAATATTTCATTAATTTGATGAATACATGTACTTTATAGGAACTCAAAAGTTGTGAAAATACCTCATATTAGTTTATATTGTACCATTAATTTGTAGATATCTTTTATGTTGTTTAAAATATTCTTATTTCAAAACGAAAAATGTTATGGCCTACCTTACTTTAATCATGTATTAGTTTCTACTTTCTAGGTCTTTACTAGTCTTGGTACTTACCAAGCTCAGATCCAGGTCTGTCCTGGCCCAACTGGCCTCTATCATTGGCTCCACACATCATCACTGTCCCATCACGAAGGAGAACACAGGTGTGACGTAGTCCGCAGCTTATCTCACGGATCTGCTTACCAGCAAGAGCAGGAACCTCTCTGGGCGAAGACAAGGACGGAACGTCGTCTCCAAGGCCAGAGATTCCCAGCTGTCCATCTTGAGTACATCCCCAACTGAAGACTGACATGCTAAATGCCTGTCCTATAGATAAAATAAACATAGAGTTCTGAAACTAAAAGACTATGGTATTGGTGAGGTAAATGGGTACCTCGTACGATTATTCCTTGAAATGCACTGTGCGCTGACAACAGCTCCCGGGCTAAAGCTAGGGTAATAATTTCCAAAGCTCTTTGGAAGCGCATAGAGATGTTATTTCATAACATATTATGCACTAAACAAGAACTGAACTATTATTATTAATGAAGGCTTAACATACATGTATTATAACTTATGTGTGACAGTTACATATCTACACATAGGTCTTACCAGGGGTGATAGTGAGCACTGAAAAAAAAATAGGTTTTTTGTTTTCTCCTCAACCACGCCCCCCTTGAGTAAAAAAAAAAGAAGACGATTCGCGGGGAAAAAATGGCATCTAACAACATTCCTCCCTCTCGAGTAGGAAAATTGAGACAAACTTGGGAAAATTGGGGAAAAAATAGGGGATATTAGAGATAATAAGAGGGAAATCGAGAAAATCAGGACAACATTGGGAAGGGAAAAAAAATTAGTAAAAAAAAAAAAAAAAAAAAAAAAAAAAAAATGATTTTTTTTTTTTTTTTTTTTTTTTTTTTTTAAATCGGGAAGAAAAAAAAAATCGGGAAAAAATCGGGAAAAATAAAAAAAATCGGGAAACCGATTTAAATCGGGTTTTTATCAGGCCTGCTTACTCTTTACTAGAATTAGAAAAACAAATGCGACAAATAAAAGTTAATTAACATTTAACTTAAAGAAAGACAGAAATAATCGTCTGGTAGGGGGAATTCTTTAATAAAACTGACATTTCCCCATAGTCTCAGAGAGGCACGGTCAGTGGAGCCAGCTGTAGTCTCAGGCTCAGCGGAACAAACGTTGATATCATCCAGAGACTGAAGGCTGCTTTCGGTCTGGATCTAGTCTTCTCATACATTCATAACCTTTCAGATTTGACCATGACTTTAATCAATTGATAAGAATTTAGACCTGTTTTGTCTGGGCTGGCGCCTATCGGATTACCACATGACTACATACAGACTAGCCTTAGTTAAGGGCTCAGTAGATGATAATGTAAAATATGATATTGATATCACCTATATTGGCACCCTACTGTACTCTGTAGGAATAGGGCCATACCCCTGCGTGAAGAGGCAGGTAAACGAAACCTAAAATGCGGCCGAAATCACCCCTCCTCGCATGCACCCAACAAACATCACACAGTTGCTCCAGAGTTTGCTAATGGACTTGTCTTTCTTCCCATAAAATGTACTTTGAAATCGGTCAAGAAATGAATATAAAATGTAAGATTTAACCCTTAATTAAGGCTACTCAGTCAGTACTCTGTGGCACGAAAGCCGCCTGTATTTATTGTAGGTCTAGTCGTTTGCAAGCCCAGCGGTCAATATGCATAAGTAATGAGCACATGAGCTTGAAAAAACAGACATGTTTCCACCTATACAGAGTTTAGACATCATTCTTTGTATGGTGTGAAAATTTCATTTTCATTTCATTTATTTCATTCTCCATAAAAACATTAAAACATACAACATGATATAGATCTAGACCGTAGTCTACAGATAACGATCGATAACAAGAAAAATACAAAGAGAAGGAGCAAACAAAATTTTATGGGAATGTGGGGTCAACAAAAATGCAATGTATTTTAAAGGGATTTTACCATGCATCCAACGGACCGGTCGAAAACTAGAGTTTAGAGTAGACTAGGTCTAGACCCTGGATCTAGATTTAGACCTAGTAGATCTAGTAGATTCCGTAGCGAGAAAGAAAAAAAGTGAAAACTGAAATGCGTAAATAAGGGTCTAAAGAAGGAAACGTTGATAAATACCCCAAAACAAGAACAACAACAACATCACTCCTGAATGATAAACGCCTATAAGGCTATAATTAAAACTAAAAGGCTAAACAACAACATAGTCTACAGCTATAGATCTACAGCCCAAACCCAGATCAGATCTAGTCCACCACACTTCCAAGTTCATACGACAACGCTACACCACGCCGGCCGCCTCCCGAGGCCCGTGCATCAAATTGCGCTGAATGAATGAGGGAGGGGTCGGCCTCCAAGCAAGTGTGCACTGTTTAAACTTTAAACAAATCAACGTTTTTGAAAGTTCCCTTGATGAAATACCTTATAATGAATTAGCCTACCTGTAACTATTGAAGCTTAAATTTAGGTTGTCTGTTGATCTCTTTATAGTCTTATTAGCACTTTTTGGCAGTCCTTTTTTGGAAATTCCACTTTCAAGTCTGTCGCAATCAAATTTCGATATCAATAATCGGGTGACTCATATTCGGATATCGATAACGAGCTTAGGTTATGTGATAGAGATATAGCCTTATTAAGTATATATCTCTATGGGTTAGTGTCATCTCAAATTCAAATTTGTTGTAATCATGGCGTCCCCAAAATATGCGTGAGGTAAGTAACAGCTTGGTCATGTACTTAAGCAATTAAATTGAGGTAATAATAATATATATTATACTTGTATTCATGAGTGCAGAAAGGATAAAAGAGCTAATGATTCATCTTATTTGTTTGTTTAAAAGAGGTCAAGAAACCCAACGTGAATATGAATATGCGGGAGCGTGTATTGTCTGTTGTCATTTAGGCTAGAGGCTTTTTTGAGCGTGATACATTTGATTGAAAAAAATAAAGGGGGTGTCTTTTTACGTAGCGAATTCGGTGTTTCGCCAGGGTTCGTAAAAAGGTTCCAAAAGGTTTGTAAACAGTTGCAAGAAAGTCATAAACAATTTTTTTTTTTGTCGCGAAGAACATTTATTTTTTGAACAGTCGTAGATCTAGATCTAGGTCTAGATCTAGATCTAAGCCTTTGCAAACGGTTGCAAGACGGTGTCGCTGAAGTTCTTTTTGATTCGCCAATGCTAGCGACCACGTGATCATATGGTTCCTATTTAAAATCAACCTATTGAGTAGTTAGCAAAAGGTCCAAAACATTTACAAATAGTGGCAAATGATTGGCAAATATTTGCTAATCTAAATTAGATTACCGGGTAGGTAGTAGATCTAATAAATCTTCGCAAAAACTGTCGCTAACATTTGTTTTCACTTAGATCTAGAGTCTATAGATCTAGGCCTACTTAGTTGCCAACCGCCTCTCGCAAACACTTTTTCAAACATTCGCTCAAATGTTGCCAATTGTCGCTAAACATTGCTAAAATAAAAGTTGCTAAATGTTGCAGGGGCGAAATTGATTTTCGCCAACATTTGTTAGAAAAGTTGGCGAATCCAAAATTAGCAATGTTCATAAGCATTTGCTGCTCAGTGAGATACCCCATTAGATAACGGTCAACTCTACTTATCTCACAGAATCTACTCATAGTTGTACGTTGTTTGGAGTAATAGAGTATAAGGGCTGTTATTAGGGCGTCTGATCGCGCACCCGATGTTGTGTGCTAAAATCTTTCCCATAGAGATTGCACACATCCCTATGTGGTCTACATGCATTGCGCGACCAAGCAAAATTGGTCAATGATTTTATGAAAAATTTGAAATTCAAACCTTTATAACAAATGATCCTGAAGGTGAAACTCAATAAATGTGGTGTCATATGAAAGAGCAGGTTTTTCTCCATATTCCCCATAGGGGGCCACCCCCGGAATTCTAAATATATCTTGCTCAAAACAGCGATTTAAACATCGTTTCCATGGTAACTCGGAGATTTACCAATTTCATGAACTGCCCCCCCGAGGGATAAGTTGGGCCAGCTGTAAAGAATATATCCATGCACTTATTTTTTCTCTAGTCCCAAGGGATCATTTGTTACAACAGTTTGAAAATACCCTTGCTCCACGCTTTGCATATCGTGCTGTGCATTAGCTGTGCAGCTTTTGAGCAGAAATTATAACTCTGCGTGAACCACTTTTCTGTCCATTCTGACCAAAATGCTATGAATATTGCACAGTTTTTGAGGGGCTGTATCTTTTGATAGAAACATCGGTGAGTCTTGAAATTTGAAAGGTATTATTCTGATTACATTTTTTACTCCAATATCCAACAAAAATGGTGAAAAACGATCCCAAATTGAAAATTGAAAAATCGTTCAGACACCCTACTGTTATGAAGTGTGAGATTTGTAGTGAATGAGATCTTTATCATGAAATAAATACCCACTTGGACTGATTACTATTAGTCTAGTATCACTTGAGTCTTGACCTGTCTTGTTTAGTAAGTTTGTACAATTTAAAGCCCCACTGTCGTACTTGTAGCTACTTGCTCCCTCTATATAGAAAACTTCCCCAATCGGTGCCTGTTGGTCCCCCATGATCCTCTATTCCTTATGTTATTTGAGAGCTGAGTTGATGAGATAGCCACCTGTCAGTGACCTCGCTGTGTGGTCTAATCCCTACTCGCCACACTAGTGTTGATAAGCTTTAATATGCATTCTTGTCAAATCCTCGCACTGTTTTGATGCTGTCTCACATGTCTTTTTTTATTTATGCAAGTGAACTTGTATGCATACTGAATAAGGTGCTTCTTTTATGTCCACACTTTATACCGTAAATCTCTGTGTATAAGGCGCACCTGTGTATAAGGCACCCCTATTTTTGAGATTTAAAAAAAAAAATCTTTTTTCTTTTCCTTCTGGGTTTGCTTTTTTGCCGACACCAACTGAATCGGCAAAAAAGCGTGCGGTCCCGTTCAGAAACCAAAGTCATGATGCAGGGATTTTCCTCCCGAGTCAAAACCGAAATTTAGACAGGCTAGTTTTTTGAGTGGTGATTCGATATCCCCTGTGTGAGTGAGCTGCATGATCAGGTGAGTGAGCTGGAGACATGGGAGAGCTTCGGCCGGCAAAGTTCTTTGTGAAGGGGCATTATTTATCGAGAGTGAAAAAAAAAAAAAAAAAAACTCTCTTCCCTTCAAATTAGGAACGTAGTTCAACTTCATCCTATTCTTTATTAGCATTATGTAATTCATGTTGAGACACAGAGATTTTCGGAAACCATTAAAAAGTAGCATTTTGAGAAATCAAAATATCCTGTACCAGTGTATTAGGCGCAACCCCGACTTATTCACGGAGATTTGCAGTAAGTTAAAATTTGTCTATAAAAGATAACAGTTAAATGCACTCTGCAGGTAATGCCAATGACGCGACGATGTCTTGCTTGCACTTGTAAGTTGCAGTGTCATCACCACAAAACTTGTGAAGGGAGACCCTTTTAAAAGTATGATGGGGAGTTGAATGTCTGTACACTTTACAAGCATAAAGCATTGTCTTTGCCTCAACCATCATTAATATTTTTGTCCTTTATAAAGGTAATACAAAGTTTTGGGAAATTTTGAAAATTGGGTGGATAGTGAATCTTTACAATTTTGATATATATTTGGATGCCCCTGGGGATGAATTATAAGCAATAAAAAATTAGCCCCTAAAACACTTCTGTTTTCGAGAAAAATTAAATATAAAAATTTACCGGTGCTCCCGGTAAATTTTGATGAATTTCAAATAGCGCCTATGGCCGTACAATGGTAGCTGCGACCATGAAAATCTCAGAATATGTAGTTGTGATATATAATTTCCAAACAGAAATAGCTAATCGGTCGATTTTAGTCAAGAAACATTGTTTCATAGCTAAATTAATATCTTGACCTTGAGAGGGAGCTATACAACATAAAGAGTTTATTATTTATTATTTCATAACTTTAGACTCAATTTCAACCGCGACAACGATCAATGAATATTGTAGGAACGCATATGCTTCCAATATGTTAATTTGAACCAAATTCATGACCCCATACTAAAACTTTGTAATACCTTTTATTGTCCAACAAAATTTTTAGAAGATTTATGAAAAAACTGCTTGTAAACTTATTGAAATTGCTGTTTTAAATCGACTGTCTGGATACACAACCTGTCCAGACACACAACGTCTGGGTATACTAGCTGTGTCAGCTCAATGTAAAATCTGATGTTTTCACATATTCACCAGATTGTCGTATGGAATTCAAGGGTGTATTAGTCTATTGTTAAACTACCTCACATCAAAAGCTGGTCCATCTGGAAGATTTCAGAAAAGAAATGTATTTTTTTTAAATCATCCCAAATGGCAGTGATAAATTAAGGAATTATAAAATAGCTTAGCAAAGGGTGAAAAATTGGCTCATAATGGGATCAATGATGATAGTAACTAATTTAGTCTTATTTATCCCGGGGTATCCAAATCATTACTCGTACTAATCTTCCCAGGGCTCAGCAATTATTATTACTCAAGCATTGCCAGGTACCTGTTTAATAAACCTAGGTCGAGAGGGAGAAAGGTGGGCAAAACACCATTGTAAGTACCAAGCAAGGATCATGCCCGAGACTACTCATACAAGAGTGTATCTTGAGCCTTCACCAATACCACAGTGAATACAATGTATGATTGATATTATGCCAAACTTAATTAAAACAAAAACGTGGGCAGAAGTGTGAAACAATCTTTCCTATTTACAATCTACTTTCATGTAAATGTTCATTGTAGATTAAATACACTATTGTGACCTATTTAATTTAGGGAATTGACAGTTGATTCATTACCTCAATTCATTACCTCAATTCATTTCAGATCCTTTGCCTTGATAACCACACAGAGTAAGCTGGAATATCGTGATGGCATTCACTTCAGTACTCCAGGTATGTTTTAATGAAGCTGGAAATTAAAGATCTAACCTTACTCTATAGAACCTGCCCCTTTTAGCCTCTCTGTTCATGTATACAGGGCGTATCATAATAAAGGATATTGAAGTTTAATGACGATTTATATGAAAACTACTGATTTCATAATCAAGCATTTTATGTCTGTTGTAAAGGACAGAATGTCCTCTTGTTAATGACACCCCGATCATACTACTACTGTCACAGTTGACTGAATAACAAAGCATTGCTGTCCACCATGTGAAAGGTGCACTGTGACAAGTTAGCATTCACAGATAAATTCTAAAGATTAGTGCTTGTGTCAGCCCAGACATATTGAAATGCTGAACAATGAGTGGATTATGTGTCTAAGAAGGAAATGTTATCAAACTTGGCACAGTGCACCTTTCACATGGTGGACAGCAATGCTTTGTTATTCAGTCAACTGTGACAGTAGTAGTATGATCGGGGTGTCATTAACAAGAGGACATTCTGTCCTTTACAACAGACATAAAATGCTTGATTATGAAATCAGTAGTTTTCATATAAATCGTCATTAAACTTCAATATCCTTTATTATGATACGCCCTGTATAGTACATGCACATCAACTGCAGTTCTCTAAACTAGAGGAAACTGAAGAAAGAGGAGGACAAGAAAAAGAGGATGATGATGATGATGAAGAAGAAGAAAACTAAGAAGTAAAAGAAGGAGGAGGAGCAGCAGCAGCAGCAGAAGAAGAAAAAAAGGAAGAGAAAGGAAGAGAAGAAGAAAGAGAAGAAGGAGAAGAAGGAGAAGAAAGAAAAGAAGGAGAAGAAAGAAAAGAAGATGAAGGAGAAGAAGAAAATAAACTGAAGATTTTTAGCAAATTTATAGCTGGTTGAATTCAATGATAAAGTTGAGAGATTATTTAAAAAAACTTTCACCATTTCATAGATTGAAAGAGAGAGAGAGAGAGAGAGAGAGAGAGGGAAAGAGAGAGAGGGGGGGGGGGGGAAATAGAGAACAACAAGAAATAAATAAGGAAGTATAGTTTACAATGGTAAAAAGGTATAATATATTATCAACTGAAACCTCCACCTCACTACACAGATGTACCTTGACTGGGCAAACAGTCTGTTGTGTGAACATGGCATTGTGATCAATGAGCTCAAGGAATTCCAAGATGGCCGCATCTTCTCACTCCTGATTGAGATCCTCACCGGGACGCAGCTGCTTCCATCGTCAGAGGTAAGTGAGATCTGCAGCTCTCCTGAATAAGCTAAGGAAAAGCTTAACATAGTGAATACAAGTTAGGTTGGATATAACTTGGGCTGGACTCTTTGAAAATATGAAAATATGTACAATACTACATTTGCTATCAAATCTTATCCAGTGTGCTATTAATGTGTGATGTAGTTTTCAAGTTTAGGAGACAAATGCAACTTATATTACCGGTATAATGAATTCAGCAACCTCTCCCCCTCAAAAAACACACAAACATGCAAACAATCTGATCTTACAAATGTTGTCTTTATAATCATAAGTACATGGGATTCTTTTGAATTCTAGGAGAGTGAAGACATAAGCCATGCAACACACTTCTAAATTTCTAAAAGTATTCCCCCCCCCCTTAAAAATTGATTTTTGTTTGACAACTCCAAAGCTAATTTTGTTTAAAAAACGATCTTTAAACTAATAACTGTGGTAAACAAAGACTGTATTTTCAGATATCTTCTGCGCCAGATGTGCAAGACGCTATATAGTGATCTTAATGATAAGTGTTTCTACATTTCTTCTCCAGGACTGTGATGGTGATGATGAAGTCTCGTCCCTAGACAGGGTCCAAACCATCCTTGATTACCTAACAGGACTGGGGATCAAATTAAAAGTCTCTGCATCAGGTAAAGTCCATAGCAATGGTAGTCCTTTTTGAAACCAAATTAAAACAGAAACATAGAGCAGTTTTGCTTTTTGAAGCACCTAAAGAAAGATGGTTGATAAAAATGAAGCCCCTGTAATACCAAAGGGGTTTTCAATAGAAAGTGGGAAAAAAGCTCATGTGAATAAAAGAAGTTAAAAAAACGATTCCATGTTATCAGGTAATACAGGTAAAGCAAGCCTAAAGCTATAGAAGTACCGGAAGGAAGTCAGATATATTCATTTTATCATAATCACAACATTTTATGTATATCACAATGAAGAATACAACAATAAACTTTTTTTTCTTCTTCAAGTTGTGTGAAATTGATTTGCTCCTTCAAAATGACGTCTGTCTTATTTTGTTTCACTTGATGGATATACTTTAACCTTCTCTGATTTTTTTTTCTTCACATTCAAACAAAATAGATGATTTTCTCTTATTTCAAGGAAATTTGGAATAATTTTAGATTCTGTTTGCCCTTTTGATAAATCATATTTTCATTATGGTCCTATAATATTATTCATGTTCTGTAGAGGTTTTGTGGTCTAGTATCTTTGGAGTGTAGATCACATGGTTTATTTTCTGAGTCTCGCCGCAGCACTAATATCCTTTTTGCAAGGCTTTTGTCCCTCTCCTCTTAATTTTTAAAAAGGGTACCGGTAGGAAAGAATTCCTTTGATGCTGTGAGCACTGAAATTGGTAGCGTAGCAGGACTTGGGCAATATTAGAGTGCCATGACCCATGAGCACCTTGTGTCGTGATATTTGCGCTATAAATATATCCATTATTATCACTCTGTTTTTTGCGTTACAGATGTACTGAAAGGAGAACTGAAAAGCATTTTGGACGTGATATGGGCAATCATTCTACACTTCACTGTACACTCACCAGGTAACGAGATTAGTACAGTCAACCCATTGACTATTGCACTATCATGTTTAATACAAGAGCCATCTGGTTCCAACAGGCAGCGGGTTAAGCTGACATTTGCATTATTATCGACAGTATTTACAGTTTAAAGAGAAGGTTGAGTTTTGAGGAGAGGTGAAACAAAATTTGTGAGCGTTACCATTGTTATTATGCAAGGGTGGAAGAACATCAGATTAAACATGTTCCCTGAAAAGCATGGCTCTTCAAATGCCTTCATATTCTAAATTTGACAAGCAACAGCTTAAAAATAAGGCCTGATTTTTATGCCATATGTTTGTGTAGTCCCATATACATCTGTCTGTGTACAGTGCTCGTTACTTTACCAAGATTGGGCCAAATTTCTTATCATTTTGATGACTCCAGAACCTTGCAGTACACACCAATACCTATATGCTACACCATTTCTTTCACAGAACTCAATTTTATCTTGAACAACTCAATTATTTATACCCTTACCATGTTTTATAATTTTCTAAGTACAGTGTATGTGAAAAATTGATCCGTCTCGATTTATATTTCTTGAGAATGAGATATATTAAAGCTTATATCTAGAAACATTCAACAAACGCCCTGATTCAACCAGTCCACCTTTCATTCTTGAGTTACGAAGAAAAAAAACCACATCAACTTTACAAGGGGTATGAAAAATTTAGTTGTCAACTGTACATTTGAAATATAGGTAATATAGGCTGACACAAACAGCAAGGTATCTATCAAGCTCTGTAGATTAGTAGATACAGTTAACAAGTCAATTATTCATACCCCTTGTAAATTTTGTGTTTTTTGTGTTTATGATGGACTGGTTGAATAAGGGCCTTTTTGAATACTTTTAGATGTGAGCTTTTTATGTCACATTCAGAAAAAACATGAATAGGTACAACTCAATATTTTTCACATACTTGAAAAATTACAAAACTTGGTAAGGGTATAAATAATTTAGTTTTTAACTGTATATTGATGTACATGTTAGCTTAAAGAAATGTAAAATGAGTACCGGTAGTTGTGAGAGAAATATACACTCATCAAAGAAAGAAAAGAACTAAATAAATCATACACTTGTGTAATTGTGACAAACATTTTTGATAGGGAAAAGAAATACAGTAATTAAAATTGGTATACCGGGTATTTGTATTGAGAGAGGGGCATTGTCAATAAAAAGAAGAGGCTGACATTTAAATGCTTAATTGGTCAGTCATAATTTTTCATATATTTAATATAATAATAATAATGGATAATATTTATCAGTCGACCCCTCCTCTTGAGATTTGAGCGTACCGACAAAAAACATATTTATAAGTATTATACATACAATGTACATTCTTGATGCATAAAAGTTGATAAACATTGTATAAAAAACGTTTTTACAAGACTAGCTGTTGTGGCTTTTTGACTATTCTACCACTACGAAAATACAGTTCTTTCATTCATTGGAATATGTGATAATATTGGGAGTTATTTCATATCCTGTATTATACACTATTCAATTCAGAACTTTATTTCAGACTCAGCTGCACAAGGCAGAGGTCCATAAAACATATGTTACATATAGATAGGGAAAAAAGCTGAGTATGAACATGATGCGTGTAATAACAACAAATCGTACAAATACTAAAGAATATACAAACTAAACTATACTACTTATATACACAATGTAACTGTAACATGAAACCTTTATCTGTAAAATTGATAACAGAAGGCCTATAGCAATCTAACTCTAAGCTGTACCTGTAACTGCAAGATTAAAATAAAAATATGATATAAGTCTTAATATTAGTGTAATCACTGATTGAACACTATATTCACTCAGATGCTCCCATGCAGCAGAAGACAGTGCGTAGTGGCAAGAAGCAGTTGATCCAATGGTGTGCTGCTCAGCTTGGTGAAGCCTCTCTGGATACCTGCAAGGGACTAGCACAATGGTGAGTGCAAAGCAGTTAGAAATCATTAATTTCTCAAGAATCGCAACTGTTGATTTTTAATGTTAATACTCCACCAGGGTGGCCCACAAACTAAAATTCCAACTTGTTAAAATTGGAACATGAAAGGAGTATGCAAAACATGAGGTCCTTTGTTGACAGGCTCTAAGGCTTGCTTAAGGGCTCTTAAAGGTAAAGACCAGTTTTGGAAACGCCCCCCCCCCCCCCTCAAAAAATGAAATGGAAGCTCTTATTACCAATCATGTGAAAGAATATGTTTTGACTAATACGTGATCATACAAATTTTGCTGAGAAACGGCCTACTAATTGATATATTTGGTAAATTATTATATCCATTTGGACCTGATAGATATAACGCATGTGTTGCGCATGTGTCGCATAGTCCCATATACATCTTTCTGTGTACAGTGCTTGTAACTTTACCAAGACTAGGCCAAATTTCTTATCATTTTGATGATTCCAGAACCTTGCAGTACACACCAATACGTGTATGCTAGATGATCAACCTTTTCTGATCAATTCCACAACATTTCTTTTACAATGCAATCGCATGACCAGAACTGGTCTTTACCGGTATTTTTAAAGTTCTTAGATCCACTTTGGTGCAATCTGAGCTTTTTTAAATGCATATTCGAATATTTTTTATTACTAATATTTCATTAAATTTTTGGTTGAGAATGGGTATTAACCTTTCCTGATTTCCGAAACTGTACAATGACAAATTACATGTTACATATTTAAACCCCCTTGTGGCCTCATACATGTATGAGTGTCCTACTTCATTTCCGAAGATGCCAAGCAGTATGATTTAAACAAATTTGGTAGGGAAAAATGAATTAAAAATAAAACAACATGTTTATTTGAAGTAGACCAAAACCTTATCCTACTTGACTTTTCATTACTCTGTTTCTTATAATGCAACAGCTTTGAGAAGAACAACAAGCTTGCTGAACTTATCGGTCTCTTCTGCAGCTATGCAAATAACAGTACGGTAAGTATCCATTTGTGATATCTCTTCATGTTCTGATTAAAACTGGAGTTTTCAGTGTTTTCTCTCCATATAGTTTGTTTATAAACTTTTCTCACTCTTTCTTTCAGTATTTCTCACTAACCTTTCTATTACTCATTTTATTTTCCATCTTATCTTTATCCCTTTTTCTTTCTTTCTTCCTTTTCATCTTTTTTCTCTGTGTCATTCAGTGTACTTATCTCACCTCTTCTATTTTAATATTTTCTTCTTTGTTTTAAAGCACTCAGCTATAATTATTGTTTCCTCAAAATCCTATCTTAGTACTTCATATAGATTTAATGTTGCCTTACTATATGTATACCGTAATCATTGTCAATAACATCCTTATCCTGAGGGCAATCATAGTTGATGTAAGTTTTATAATTTAATCATTTTAAGTACAATTCTATTCTTGGTTGTAATTAATCTGTTTATTTGTGTTTGTTTTATTCATTCATTATTTTTCAAACACTTTAGGAGACTTATGTGAATAATTTGACCAGTGCCTTGATCGCTTCTGAAGAGCATTTTGGAATTACCAAGTCTTTGCTCAGGTAAGGCCACTATTTTACAATGACAAAAAATTTATATCTGAATTGTATCATATATATTAATCCATACATTATCCAAGGGATTGTCCCAATCTAATCTCCATTCCTTAAAATGATTGTAGATAGAAGATTATTGTATAGATATTCTTCTAAGAATCATATACTAGGCTAGAGCATTACCACTCTCCTCAGTGTTCAAAAGTGTCAGCTTAGTGAGATACAAAGCTTATATGAGGCAATGCCATTGTTGTTGAATGAGGAATCTTGAGGAATGTCATGCTTATCTTTGCATGTACATCAATTTCACTATTTTGTTGTAAACTCTGTTGAAAATTTAATTCTTGTGACAAATGGAGTTGCATATAAAGTTGAATACTTTATTCATTGATTTTCATGGTTAGGGGGCATTTTAAAATATATCTGAAAATATCTGAAATTCACTACCAATTCTTTCAGCAATTGCCCTAGCTCATCCTGGGTATCACTTGATGATGAATTGCTTTTCTTTGTTCATAGCCCAGCAGATGTTATAAGAGGAACAGTGGAAGAGCATGCCCTCACTATCTACCTTGCACTTCTACGCAGAAAGGTAATGAAATGCTTACAATTATCAACAAAGTTTTAATATTTGGGTGCTTTATTCACCTATTTGCACCGTCACTTCTGTGGCATACATGTATGTACAATTTCGCACTTGACGGTAGGCACCAGTTTATGGAAGGATTGCTTTGTGCAACACAATGACTTTGCAACATTACTCATCTCCAGTCTTAATTAGCTTTACAGTAATCTTTTACAGTGGAATAGATTGATTTGCAAGAGAAAGAGTTAAATGATCTTGAAGCCATTTATAGATCTATCCCATGATGAATAAAATTGTGGCAGAGGGGGATTATTTGAGTGGAATGTAAAGAGTTAATAAAAAACACTGTCTATTGAGTGCCAGAATTAATGCTCTCTTGGGCTCTCACTAGTTAATATCTTTATTAATTTGTTCTTCATGGTATACAAATCATACAGAGATTATACCTGTATATTTCTTTATTCCCTTCTGATACCGGCTATTTATAAACAACATATGAATGATTTGTGTGTGTGTGTGTGTACTTTACTCAGGACAGGAATTTAAAGGCCAAATTTATGAGCTTTTTAAAAAAAATTGGCAATATTGAAATTGTACTCTTTGCTACATTTTCAAAGTAATATTCATGTATATGAGAAAATTATACATGGACAGAATGTTGTGGAAGAGTTCAGAAAATTGTGTAAATAGACAGACATTTTTGAACTTTCAAAATGTTGCCACTTAAGAATCTTAAAGGTACATGTAGTAGTAAACTTTTCCTCTCATTCTAAACCAAATCCTGGATTTAGCTCATGCTGCAATCATAATTATCAACCTTTAGGTAAGAAATGAATTCTTTTGGAGCTTCAATATTACACCTATCACAGACACAAATAACACATAGGGCCATGCATCTCAGATTTATAAAACTGGAAACATTGTTAAACAATGCCTTTAATGCTTAAAGTTTGAACGTTTCATGATTTGATTGAAGGTCACACAACTTGCTACCGATAACGATCAGTCAGGGAAGAGCTCAGATCTGAATACCTCAGCAGGCATGCCAGAAGGATTGACAGAAGAGGTAAAGTGCTCCATTCTGTTTTCATCTGCTCCTTTATACATCAAATGGTTGTAAACTTGATGGTGTTAATGTATAGCTAATGTTTGTAACACCCATTAAAAATACTAATAAACATATCAGAGTTATTTATCCTTTCATGAATTATTATGAAAAATACTAATATACATATTAAAGTTATTTATCCTTTTATGAATTATTATGAAAAATACTAATATACATATTAAAGTTATATATTCTTTATAAATTATTATTAAAAGTACTAATAAACATATAAGCATACATATAAGAGTTGTTATCCTTTGTTTATTGTGATTCATGAGCTATTGCAAGTATGACCTTCACAAGGCACATTCATACTCAAGGGGTAAACTGTCTGAAATTAACCCAATGCATACTGGAACTAAGTTGTTCCTGTATCAAACCTATGGGATAAGATTCTTAAGTAAACTCAAGAAAACTTCAAGGTGCTGTTGTGAATTGAACAAATAAATCTGGTGGAAACAATAAAATACTTCAATATCACTGTGAGAAAATTGCTTTTATACAACACCAAACTCTAAAAGAGCTACTGCAAACAGAAAAGTATTTTATACTCTATACATAGGATCCTGTGTGTGGAGGTGTTTTTTTTCTACTTTCCATAAAGAAATTTTTTATCTTACTATGGCAATTTAATGTCTTGTTTGCATTGTATCTGAATGGGCCTGTTTACTGCAAGCTCCAATTTTTATGGTATTTATGTCTTGGTATGAGTTTTTATAACAAGTCATAAAAAGCTAATTGACGTCTTTTCAATGTAATTGATATTCATTTTGTCGGTCTTATTTAAAGAAAAAAAAGTCTTTACTGGTAGGCTGTGAGTTTTTTATGACTTATGACTTAATTCAACCTCTAGTAATCTAAATGTTAGTTTGGGTCATTGACTTACTTCTATAAATATATATGATACTTTTTTATTATCATTTTGGTATATACTATTATCTTTAAGTAATGTATGAATGACTAGAAAAGATCCAACAAAAATTAAAAACTTAGTACATAAAATATTCACATTTAAACAATTTGAAACGATCTAAAACTCTTCTGAGATTACCTAGGTGGAAGCAATGGTGAATTTAAACTCCGAAACACTCATGCCTCTGATATTTTATTTCACATTCGAGGTGAAACGGAACAAAACAAAACGTTTGTTATCATTGGACCAACTATGAATGCATTTGTTATCATTAGTTTCATCAAAAATTTACTTCACCATTGACATCACCATCTAAAGCAGAATTTCAAGCTTTAACTCCTTTAATTTTAAAGAATAGCAACATATACAGACATAGGTACTAGAGGTTGTCTTGCACTCATTGGAGTAAATCACAAACATGAACAGAAAGCTGAAATCAGACAAAAAGTGGAAGCTAAAGGAACAGAGCGTGCAAAAATATAATGGGCCGTGATTGGCTGCCAGAAAAAACCCAGATGTAATGAGAGCGTCCAATGAAAATGGGTTGTAGCAATGCTAGTTAGAATAAGACAAGAGTCCTCTCAAACTTTGTTGGCAAAGAATAGGGTCAGTGAGCTTCATTTTCTTTGTTTAAAACGCAATTCAACTTGGTACAGAGGATTGTATAACTGTTTAAGAAAATTGCAAGGTTCAAACAAACTTTTTGTACCAACTCTTCCCTCACTTCTTCTTGTACTTATCACAAGAATGGCCCATGTAGTGCATGACCAATGTTGCCAATTTGGTATTCATTTATGTAAATAGTGATCTTAACATACAAACATTTATTCAATTTCTTCAAACTACACTTTTTCTTTTTTTTCTGCATTGCACACAAGTCAATATTTCTGTAAGGGATCATTGATGTACACGTATATTGGAAATGTAAAATAACCTCATTACACCACAGGCACACCAGTGAGACCGACACCAGACCGATCAAACCTTTACGCTGACCCCAGTGGCAAACGGTCAGTCGGTCTGGAGTCGGTTTGGCACCACCTCACTCCCTTTTGTATTCGTATTGGAAGTGGCCATTATTAACACTACATGACGCCTTGACCCTCTTGTCATACAAATGAGGGTACCACATGCTTACTAACATATGACCTCTTAATGGAGTGGTCATGATATGCATAGTGTTACATAACAACTGGGGTAATATAACTTTATAGGTTGATTGACAGTAGACACTATGTATTTATGGGTGATTATTAAAACAAAGTGTATTTATTTATGAGAGTGAATGGGACGATAGTAAAAGTGTAAAAGCTGTGTGGTTAATCTTCTTGGTCAAACATCTTGGGGTCAAGAACCGCTGACCTACATGTAGCTTTTGTTAACATGGGATAACCTACTTTATACATGTAAGCAACCTAAAACATGCAGTCAAATAAATATGGTTAATCGTAAGCCAAAACAATATATCTGACTCTATTATTTAATTGAATACCACAACTGTTTCTATGGCAATTCTAATAGTGATTGTACATCCATGTAAATTTACATGAGCCTCTTCTGAATAATTATTGATGTAGATTGATACATTTGAATTTTTTCCAGTTAAAAGCTAAAAACAAAACAAAGCAAGAACAAATCAGAGAAAAATACAAAGTGTAATATTTGATAACATACTCTTGTATAATAAATATGATACTTGTCATTCCACCATCCCTTCCGAAAAAAACCTGAAAGAATATCAGAAGTAATTTAATTACTAGGATAAACCTTGAACCGGGAAGTAGGTTATAGTCATATTATGACTCCAGAAAGCAGAAGTAATTTAACTACTATGGTAAACCTTGAATGAGGAAGTAGGTTATAGTCATATCATGACCCCTCCTTCACATATGGATTAATGTACAGTTCCGCCTGCGATCAACGTCACACTGATCGCACGCAATTGATCGCGCTCAAAATGCGCGACTATGAGCGCGATCGCGCGCTCTTGTTATGCGTTATCACTGAATGCGCATACTGTCCTCTACGGCAGAAAAGAGGCGCGATATTCTGTACGGCAGTATTACAAAAGCGCTCGATTCCGTTCAAAACGGCAGTAAAAAGTGGGGGTGTTTTAAAAATATCTCTCCCGTTTCAATTTTGTTTTCCTCATTAATACGTTGATTGTTTTCCCTTTTTGAAGATTATCTAGATCATGCATGCCTGCTTTTTTTTAATTTTCTACTTCTAAAAACAATAATTATCAGCAAGGTTTTGTTGCCCCTACGGAGATCTAAAAACGATTATTATCGGCAATACTTTGTTGCCCCTACGGTGATCTAAAAACAATAATTATCGGCAAGGTTTTGTTGCCCCTACGGAGATCTAAAAACAATAATTATCGGCAAGGCTTTGTTGCCCCTACGGAGATCTAAAAACAATAATTATCAGCAAGGTTTTGTTGCCCCTACGGATATCTAATAACAATAATTATCGGCAAGGTTTTGTTGCCCCTACGAAGATCTAAAAACAATAATTATCGGCAAGACTTTGTGGCCCCTACGGAGATCTGAAAACAATAATTATCGGCAAGGTTTTGTTGACCCTCCGGAGATCTAAAAACAATAATTATCGGCAAGACTTTGTTGCCCCTACGGAGATCTAAAAACAATAATTATCAGCAAGGTTTTGTTGCCCCTACGGAGATCTAAAAACAATAATTATCGGCAAGGTTTTGTTGCTCCTACGGAGATCTAAAAACAATAGTAATCGGCAAGACTTAGGTGCCCCTACGGAGATCTAAAAACAATAATTATCGGCAAGACTTTGTTGCTCCTACGGAGATCTAAAAACAATAATTATCGGCAAGGTTTTGTTGCTCCTACGGAGATCTAAAAACAATAGTAATCGGCAAGACTTAGGTGCCCCTACGGAGATCTAAAAACAATAATTATCGGCAAGACTTTGTTGCCCCTACGGAGATCTAAAAACAATAATTATCGGCAAGGTTTTGTTGCTCCTACGGAGATCTAAAAACAATAGTAATCGGCAAGACTTAGGTGCCCCTACGGAGATCTAAAAACAATAATTATCGGCAAGACTTTGTTGCTCCTACGGAGGTCTAAAAACAATAATTATCGGCAAGGTTTTGTTGCCCCTCCGGAGATCTAAAAACAAAAATTATCGGCAAGGTTTAGTTGCCCCTCCGGAGATCTAAAAACAATAATTATCTGCAACGTTTTGTTGCCCCTATGGAGATCTAAAAACAATAATTATCGGCAAGGTTTTGTTGCCCCTACGGAGATCTAAAAACAATAATTATCGACAAGACTTTGTTGCCCCTACGGAGACAATTAGTTGTCGCTGATATTACCGGCTTTGTGACAAAAATTAAGCCGACGGAAAGAAAGAAATGAATAAAGAAAATTTATTTAAATATCACTTGCGCTAGAGAAACAAAAAGTGAGAGAGATAGAAGCGAAAACGATTAAATATCGCTGATTTTACCGGCTTTCATGATAAAACTTAAGCCGTCGGAAATAAATAAAGAAAATGAATTGCAATATCACTGGCACTAGGGAAATAAAAAGTGAGAGAAAGAGATTGGTGAAAACAATGAAGTGTCGCTGATATTACCGGCTTTCATGACAAAAATTAAGCCGACGGAAAGAAAGAAACGAATAAAGAAAATATCACTTGCGCTAGAGAAATAAAAAGTGAGATTTTTTTTCTTCTTCTCCACCTCACTTTGTCACTATGATTCTATTTTGTACTTAAATTTTTGTAAATAATTATGGGTTCACTTATTAAAACTTGCATATTTGTTTGTAAAGTGTATTTCATTGTTTTATATTCTGTTCTAACAAAACAATGGATTCTGAGTGGGGCATTCTGGCGACATTCCGAATGCCAGTTGTATAAATCCGTGACGTAATTAACTATGAGGCCTAAAAAATAAAAATATATTGTGCCTTAGGTGCTAAAACATGGGTCGGTCGGAAATCTTTTTTTTTTTCTTTCCTTTTTTTTTATCTCCCTTTTTGGGCTGATATTTTTCAGTTTTGTA